AACCCACAATCATTCAACAATCATATGGGATTCAAAAGGTAGCCCTTACAGAATCATGACGTCTTTCATTATGTTGCACTTTTCTCTATCCAGGCTTCAAGAGATGGTTTCTATATTATAATTTTTTTTGTTATGTATAACATTTTGCTTACATTTTGCGGTTAGTGCAAAGCTCTGTTATTATTTTTGATAATCTGACATTCATTGAGATATTATCCGTTTTAGTCTAATGATCTCATGATTGTCTCAGTGATGTTAGTTCTTAGCTAGTTACTTAACTTTTGAGTCTCTAATAAAGTTAGAACCATTTTACCAAAATATGCCTTGATGTTTAAGAGTTCATTTTTTTTTCTCAACTTATTTTTTTAAAATGACCCTATGTCCATTTTGCAAAGCGTTATTGCTAGTGCATTTAGGCATGATGTATCTTATTTTGATTATTTTTCCAAAATTTTTGAAATTATGACTTTCAAGATTTAAATGAGTTCATATGAAAATTTAAATAAAATTTATACAAATTTACTAATTACTAACACGTGTGCGCGTGCACACGTGCACGCGCACGCACACACACACATACATATACTCTTAAGAAACTTTTTTTTAAATAAAAAATAAAAAGTTCCCTGCCCTTTATTTGTAAAGGCTTAGGAGTGGATGAGTGAAAGAAAGTTGATCTACACAAAGTAGACTAATATGAAGGGTCTTAAAGCCATTTTTGTTAGATGGGCAAGCTAGGAAAGTTGATCTACACAAAATAGACTATTATTATTCTACAATATACTTCATTGTATAATCTTTTGTATATTGTTGCCCTATTTGTTCTACAAATATAAATATTTTAATTTTTCTCCAGATATTTCAAATTTTGACAATTTTGGATATTTTGACAAGATGAAAGCCTTCTAGTACACATTTTCAATTATAATAAAATTGTGCACATGTTGCCACCTACGTACGCACTCAAAACCTCACCAAAGCACTTATTCACATCAATCTCCTTCTCCTACCTTCTCTTAATCTTTGCATATACAACTCCATTCCCCTTTCAACTCCCATTGCTAAATGCCCTAGAAGTTCCTTATATATGTTGTAAAAGAGAGAATAGAGCTAGGTTAGCAATTCTAGTATGAAGAAAAAAGATCAATATAGGTGATTTTGAGGCTTGAATAATGTTGTGAATCCATGCCAACTTATAATTGCTTGGTGTTGAAAGTGTGTTAGTTGGAGTTGCCTACTTGCCTTAATATGAGAGCTTTGCATTATATAAATGGCACATATTACGTAGAAAAATGATACAACAACAACAAGAAGAAGCCTTTATCCCACAAAGTTGGGCCATTGTTGGCATCACTTTTTGATGCATGAGTGTAGGATGTCTACCTGCATGACTCGAGATAGTTCACAGTTCGTCCGTAACATCCCGTAGTTTAAGATACAGATCAAGGAATCTCTAGCACTTGCCCAAGGCATAGAGCTAGGGTTGGAGGTGATTTAGCCTTACCCAAGAGAACCCGCCGTCGGAGGGGCTCATTCAAGACATAGGACATATTTGGTGCCCATTCTGGAGTTTAAGAGTCACCGCACGTCCTTCTAGAGCCTCCCACGTGCAAAGGAAGTCATGGAGTCCTTCTACGCACGCTGAGAGAAGGTTAGGGTTCAGAATATCCTACTCATGTTGCGGCTTAGGGCAATCGTTGGCGACAATTTCCTCGGTGAATAACCAATAAAATACTCAATTTTGAAGTTATAGGACTACATCTCACTCATATAGAGTCTTCCGTAGCTTATCGATTGAGAAAATCCTCGTCCGGCGCTCTCGATGTAAATTAGGGTTTCAGGGCTAAATCGACGCCTAAGCACTAGCTCTGGGTGCCTAGGCGCCCAAAATGCCTTCCCGGACGTTAAAAATCGAGCACCTGGAAGTCTGGTGCCAGTTACTGGCACCTAGGTGCCAAAACCAACTCAGTAACAACCATTTTCCCGAGTGTCATCCTACAAGAGGATCCTTATCTTCTACCATATTACTTGATTCCAAAAGACACTTCCGCTTCTGACTCTTGGAAGCCAACTTTTCATTTGCCACCTTCGTTCAGATCTCCTTTACAATCTACAGGTTGTGCAACTGCTCCTCATCATTTTACCCGTCAACACACGGTAACTGTCTCTTCAACGGTATATCGACGAACCGAGAAAAGACAACCAAAAAACATCTCCAGGGCAACGATCATGCTCTCTGGAAGAGAACTGGACTTTGACAAGTTACACCCTAAAGGCTTGGTCTGTATTCCCTAGGTGCCAGAATAGGAACCAACAAGAACTTCTTCTTCCAATCCTTTATCGTATTTTTCAATCCTACTAAGTGGAGTTCCTTGCCTGTTAAGAATATAGCGTAGCCCTCCTTGTCGACCTTGAACGAGAAGAAGTATCTAAAGAGTTTGATCGACCACACAAGATTCTTTTGTTGACAAAAAAGGACAAAAATCATGTTTGCAGCTATGGAGTTTGCATCACTTGTGCCAGAATAACTCCATAGGTGTTGAAGATGCTCTGGAGTTTCTGACACAAGGGCAACCAGATGCCATGCTTGAACTGGACTCGGTAGACTACCAGGTCTTTTCCCAAAGGATCCATTGCTCGCGCCGATCCGAGCGAGTTCCGTAGACCTAAGCTCTCATCAAGAACATGTCTTCGTTGCAGCTCCCTCACTTTGTTCTCTGTCAGAAACGAAGGGTCAGTGCCTTTCACAGAGTCGAACAAGACAAAGTGAGTGTTTGGGGAGAGACAAGATCAGAACCAGTCAGAAGACGAGAGGAGAAGAGATAGTTGAAGAAAAAAGAAAGAAATTAAAGCGCGTAAAGTGCAAAGATGCGCCTCCTTCCCCTATTTATAAGGCGAACATGTTAGACGAAGCATCACATAACAATAAGTATCACACCAAACTTCTTTTAAAAAATTCACTAAAATATCATTCTATTGCTAATAACATTATTACATGCCCCAAACAAAGTGTTTTATAAAGGGGTTTTCCAAAATCTCAAAGAGGACAAGCCCCCTCAACTTTTGGAGAACCATCTCTCCACCTAACCTAATTTGATCCATTCGATAGCTTTTTGTTTGAACTTTGCTAGATCAGACATCTCACAGAGTGCCTCCAGCTCGCACAACACCTTGTTTAGCGAGCCTTGGAGAGCAACGAGCTCCGTCCGCAGAATTACTACTTCAACATCTGGGCGAGCATCCAACTAATGCCTAGGATCAGCAGCTGAACCCACAGCGAGTCTCTCAAAAGAGCCGTCTGGCCTCGCTAGCGGTCCAATATCGCCTGCCCACTGCTCTATGATATCCAGGGATTGCGCTCGCCCCGACCCCCCTGCTTGAGATCTATCTTGGGCGTTTGGTCCGACGACTGATAATTATCGGGACCGACAACGACAGGAGCCCCACATCTTCAACCAGCATAACGACCATCGCGGTAGGGGCAAACTCCGCAACATTCTTTGACAACCCATCAACACCAAGACACCCCCACTTTTTGCGGTAGTGGCCGTGGGCGTAGGAGGGTCCTGATAACCACTCCCCCCAACTCCTTACCTCTTGCCTCGGTTGGAAGGGTCTGTTGGCCCTCAAGACGCACACCCAAACCATACTTTGAGGATCCTCGGTGATACCTCTTCAGCGACTGACCTTTCACATCGTTAGATGAGTCGACTACGCCGACCAGGTTAAATTCGGGTTGCGCCTGTTTTTCTTTATTGCCACCTTCTTCGTCTTTACAGAAGAGGGAATTTGAAACATTGCCTGCGCCGACCTCTTAGGAATTCACAACGATCCGATTTGATTTGTCAGCCATAATGCACCTAAGTTGTGAAAAGAGAAATCAGCGACAAATGATACAAGACACAAATCATATCTATTTATAGAGCACACATGACACATAATCCTAAGGGAAGTCATGTGTTTAGTCAATTCACAAATTTATTGCTAACAATTGTTTAATAATTTTTCTTGTCCTAATTGTAGTTTTCAATATCAAGAAGTAGGAAAACTCGGAGAACTAATATATATATATACCAAAAATATCAGCATGAATCTCAAAGAAAATGAATGACCAAAATCAAGATGAAAGGACCTCCTTTCGAGGTAAGCAATCAACTAGCTATCCAAGGCCGAGCATGAAGTTGCATCTCCACACCTAGGATAGGTTCAAGCTCTAGAGATGGTTCCCCACTTGGTAGCGACAAGACCCACCGAAAGTGAAGCGTGAATCATCCCTGCACCGATTCTCGTCAGATACCCAGTGTGGGCTGCGACAAGAT